ATATCGGAATTGGAACTGAAACCTGAAAATCGGTAGAGAGGCTGGCGCCACCTAGTGCCACCACTCAGTTTCATTTCTCTCCAGCAACTAGGTCAGGAATCAAAATACACTAGACCAGGGATATCAAATCTCAAATCCACAGAGGACCAAAATTAAAAACTGAGACGAAGTCGTGGTCCAAACTAAATATTTATTGAAAATTTTCAAGAACATCTGCATGTTTTCTCTTCTTTTGAGATATGTAATGTTAAACACTGAATTCATAACAAGCATAATGTAAAATAATAACAACATTTTTAAATAAATAATGTCTCTGTAGCCTATCTGTAGCCAGCGGGCCAGCTCTAATATATATTTGATATGATCGTGCAGGCCAAATATAATTATATCGTGGGCCAAATTTGGGCCCCGGGCCTGAGATTGACATGTCTGCACTAGACGGTTTGCAAGAACCCCAGAAGTGCGAGTCCGGGCACCAGTCAATCAGTGAAAAGCCATATTCTGAGTTGGCAATGATTCCCAAGATCAAGGAGTTAAAGCCAGAACAAAGAGAATGTTTGGTGAATTTTATTAAGGGGAAAGACGGTATTGCCCTTCTTCCTACGGGACTTGGGAGAGCTTAATAAATCAGTTAGCCCTGTTAGCGGTGCATTACATACATCATGACCAAATAGCAGCGAATGCTCGCCTACTGTCGAGTGAACGAATCCTAACACTACGAGGTCAGATGGTTTCCACGAAGTGAAACCGGCTGATGAATCAGGCTAGAAAATCGGTGCATCACTAGGCAAAAAATATAACCTCTTGGTGCAATGTCAGTTATTTTATGAAAAGGAAATAGTAAACTTTTTGAACTCAAGCCCACACCTTGTTCTGTATTTTGGACAAAGCTATTGACGGCAACTGAAAATACAATGGACCAACAGACTTTATACTAGAGCCCGACCAATATGGATTTTGCTGTGGCCGATATGAAACCGATATAATGGGAGTTGGAGCTGCCGATAGTCGATATAATCGCCGATATATTTAGTGATGTAAAAATTCACTATAAATGTTGAATTGTTTAAAAAACTTAGGTTTGGCTCTGATGGATTTTAAATTGGGTTTATTTAGGCAACATTTATTGTTATTCTGCCTCTTTACATCATATTTACAGACAGTAGGTTGGCTTAATGGCATTTTTGCATCACATTCTAGACGCTAGTGATGGGTATTCCAGTTCTTTTTAGAGAACCGGCTCGTTTGGCTTGGCTCACTAAAAGCTGCTGATTCTTTTGGCTCCCAAGCGGCTCTTCAGATTGTTTTGTTGCAAGCAGGTCTAAAGCAGTCTAAAGCAGGACTGAATCAGGACTGAACCAGGTCTAAACCAGGACTGAAAAAGGTCTAAACCAGGACTTATTTATTTTATGATAAACTACAGCCAAATATGCTCGTTTTTTGTTTTTTTTGTTTTTTTATCCTATGTACACGCAAATTTCTCAAAGTTTCGTTTTCAGCCGCTGCCGCTGTCAAACTACCACGAGTCTGCACGCGGCGTGAACAGAAAAAAAGTGAGAGAAAAAGAGAAAACACGGCTCCCAATATGGATCAGGCTCCCGTCGTTCGCTTCAAAGAGCCGGCTCGAAGAGTCATTTCGTTCGCGACGGACCCATAACTAGTAAAGAAACTAGCGCTATTAGCCTTTAGCCGTAAATGCTGCGCGCCGCGGTAATTAATGATATGCGCAAATGTCATAATTCACACGTCTATTCACAGCTCATTTACATATCAGTGCTGGTCCAGTAACAAATATACGGCCAATATAGTCACTTTACAATAGACCAATAGAAAACAGACTGTTTATGTGCGGGAGCTACAGCAGCTAACCCATAACAAATGACTAAAACTAGCTTCAAAGTCGACATATTTCCAACACTCACCGCTCATACAGGCTCCTCCTCACATCACAAATCTGCACTAATAAATGTCCTTTTAATTCAGACTCAAACCGATTGTCCGTAAAAAGAATACAATCTCAATGTTTGGATCTGTGTCTGCGGATGTAAACAAACGCACATGAGTGACGCGACTCTGTGGTGTGTTCAGGGACAGACAGTACGGACACACACGCACGGATAAATGACTCCGGTAGATAAATACTGATGTGGAGCCACATATTAGGACATTTATCTGTCTGTAAATTGGATTAAATGAACATAATGTAGAGAGTCTAAGATTTTTAACGACGTATCATATGCCCACGTGAAATATCGGCCCCTATCAGCGGCCGATAGCCGATATGCCTCGAGGTGCCCATATCAGCCGATAATATCGGCCAACCGATATATCGGTCAGGCTCTACTTTATACTGCAACAGACTTTCTATATAACAAATTTTTTCTCTCCAAGCAATCCAGTATATCCAAATTAGCCATATGATTTACATTTCCTAAAACTTCCATTTGATAAATTTACTTTCAAATCAAATCTAAAGTTTGTTCACAGGAAGAATATATTAAGTGCAATGTTTTTTGAAGCTGATCTACTCTCTGTTCGTTAATCCCAGTCAATGTTTGAGGTGCATACAAGGATAGGAATACAATGGGCTAAAGTAGTCAGTAGTTATGAGCTCACTGTTTGCCCACAATGTTTTGCTAACGTGCTTCTGCATTCAAAGCAAAAGACTGAATGACAGAGTTGGGAGTTTGTAATTCAGACAAAATATCGTTGACAAATGTTATGAAGCTATGAGAACTTTTCATCCCTCACAACCAGAATAAAATTACAGAGGATTTATGTTCCACAGGAGAGGAGGCGGAAGCTGGTAATTGTGTAGCTTCTGGCCTTGTGTGATATGATCTTGTCTTGACATCTGCACACTGTATTGATAACATGAACAGAACATTGAGCTTCATTAGGGATGTTCAAATAGTTGTTTATTGTAAATTAGATCTGTTTCAAGATCTTTAATCTGCATGTAACTTCTCTGGTGGTGTGTGTCTGCCACCTGTTTGTCTCCATGGCGATGTTATTGCTTTGCCTGCGCAATCTTTCTTGGCAATGAGCTTATCTACCTTGCATGTGCTTTTTCAATTCTTCATGGATTATTTCAGGCAAAACAATAATATCTCCATAGACAAGCAAATGGGAGGACCTGCAACCAGAAAATTTACATACTGCTCATTCAAAGCATTGTAAATATGTAGGAAGGTACACATTGATATATAGGGACAAATGACAAATCAAAGTGTCAAAAAGATGCCTGTGTAGTCATTTGATTGGCCCCAGGTCTGGATAAATTATGTTTTCTTTACGTCAGTATGATTATGGTAAAAGTACCAAAGGTGCAAATCTTCTTCCGCAAATGAGACCAATGATTACTATGTGGAGAAAAAAAGACAAATTACATACCTGTCTCTATCTAGCTGGCTATCTCGATATCTAGGTCGCATTCACTGTCAAACTACACAATGCCTCTAGTTTTACCTTCGCTATTGTGAGATAGACTCAGTGCATTTTTAAGTGCATCCTCTTCCTCCCTGTGCCTCTAGTTTTGTCTTATTTTCCTGCATTCTCAGCTTCCATTTGTCTCTGTCTCTTACTGATGACAGATGGCAGCTGATGATGATGAATAGGACAGGAAGATATGAAGGCACCCAGGCCACTGCAGGAGATGATACCTATGTGTTTTCATTAAAAAGGCCTTTGTCAATAAGATTCTATTATTGCACAAATAATAATACAATGAGGAGAATAGCATTGAAGTCATTCTGTAGTTACCATGATGACAAAATGCATACATTAACAAACACAGCCAAAACATTTTTTTTTCTTGTCTGAAACTCAGGAAAAAATATTCATACTCATTGGCTGAGCAATCAGATCCACTGATCCACAGGTTGGCAGTGCAATTCCAACTCCCACAGATGAGCGCTGTCATTGTGTCCTTAGGGTGAGGTGTGTCCACTTCACCCCCAGTGTCTGTGTACCCTGGTGTGTGAATGTTTGTGAATGGGGAAGTGGTTTCTTGATATAAAGCTTTTTGAGTGCCTTGAAAGTGAAAAAGCACTATATAAAAATGTCAGCATTTACCAGAAAATATAAAATAGATTTAAATAACATAATTTCAGAAGCCTGTGATCAATATGAATGTTCAACTGTTGGCTAATGCTGGCTATCTTGTGACTCTAATTTTATGTGTAAGAGACTTGATTACCAGCACAAATCAGCTCAGCTCTTATAGTTCTACCTAAATCAGGTCTTTGTGGTCAAGTTGTGTTAAAACAAAGCTCAGATGAAAGTCTAACTTGAGTAACAGAGCTTTAGACAGAGCTGAGTTTCCAGTTAGCATCACACCCCCAGGGAGTTAAGTTACTTTGTTTCACTTCATCATATTTTTCACTAATAGGTGTACATTAGTTTTGAAATTTGTCAGTGCAGGAAGACAGTTCCTTTGGTCAAACATGCATTATACTTTTCTTTTTCTCTCCACGGTGACATATTTTCTCTCGAGAAGAGTTCAAAAAACACCTACTGCACCTTCCTGGAGAGTTTCTCATTGCCTTTGTGGGTTACATCTCCACCAAGATGTGGGTTACATCTGTGTAGTTTAAGAGTCTCTGCAGGCCTCTGGATCTGACCTCTTTGTGTTTCTCATCTCAGCAATTGTATTGTCCTGTGCTTTAAGTTGTTCCTTCATCTTTTCAAGGACTTTACTGGTGCTGGATAGCTCTTGTTTGAGCTGGCCACTTTCTCTCACTGACTTGTTATACAGATATCGTATCTCCTTGTATGCATTCATTTGGGTCTCCAGCTCTTTGTCTGTCTTCTGGAGAGAAGCTTTGAGTTCTTGCATCTCTAAATCATCAGTCTTGAAGTTTGCAATCTCTTGCTTCAGCTGCACATTTCCCTGTATTGTAGAGTTGTACAGGCACTGGATCTCCTTATGTGCATTAATCTGGTCTTGCAGCTGCTTGTCTTTCTTCTTTAAAGAATAATTGATTTTTTTTAATTCCAAGTCTTTTCCTTGGTCGATTCTCTCCTGAGACCTAAGCTTGAAATCCAAAGAATTGCTTATGTGGACCTGATCTACAAGTTCAGGCCTTGCTCTTTCCAACTCTTCACGGAGCACCCTGACCAGAGCGCTTTCCTGCCAGGGGTGAAAGGTCCTGGACCAGGGGTGGAAGTAGCTGGACCAGACGTCTGTCCTCTGGGTTTGACGGCTCCTGAATGTTGGGAGATACTAGTTGGGTCTCCTGTGGCCCTTGACCGCTCCTTGTTGGTGTGGGGCAGAGCAGAGCCTACAGGTAAAAGCCCTCATCATAGAGGTGAGTGTCGTCCTCTGTAGTATGGAGATACCAGGACTTTGTTGAGAAAGACGTAGCGCTATCCATGTTTGTGTGCGTGTTCACCAGTGTGCTGAGAGGTTATGAGCCAAACAAAAGTGTTGCTCTAGAACACAATATTCGTTTCCATGCTTATCAAGGATTCTGTATTCTAACAAAACATATATGTACTATATTATATTATTAATATCAATTTGACATCAGACTTTGAAAATGCATCATTATCTGTTAGGGTTAGGGTTAGGGCAGCATTTAAGATAATTTGCATTCATCTGTGTTGAAAATATGTGTGCTCTAGGTATGTGCAGTATGTATAAATATTACTAATACACACACACAAAGTATTAGGGACATGGGGAATGGACAATAGCATCCCGGGGGTCGCGTGGGAGGGGCGTGCATGTCAAAGCGAGGGCCATCATTGCTGTGGGCGGCTTTAAGCTATGTTTGCACTATGCAACTTTTTGGTTGGGGTGTCCATTACCTGATTATTTCTATGGATATGTCACTGCTCTGGTTGGACTGTTCCACAAAATGACATTGAACAACTCTACCTTACATTTATTAAATTACAGGTGTTTTTATTTTTATTTTTTTATAGCTCAAAAATACCTAGACAAATCCACAAATCTGACCTGTAACTTGGTCTGCTTTGGTCTCCTTGAAGATTGAAAAGGTTTAATGTCATACTGAAACATTCCAGAAAATGCCACAACATCTTTATGGAGAAAAGCATTTGACCGACCCTCCACTAGAAAAATTACACAATGCTAATGCTATACTGCACAAACTTACACTAGTCATGAAAGTTAAAATATACTGTAGAAATAGGCTATTTAACTCCATAATTATTTTTCTGCAGTGCACATCTCCACAGCAGGTTCTATGAAATGAACAGTGCTAATAATACGTGCGTGTGTGTGTTTTCAGGCACAGTCTCGCTGAGTGTGTTCCTGGTGTCAGTCGTGTTGGTGTTGTGCGGCGTTTGGCTCGTGGCGCTCTGTGGAGTCTGCACCTGGTGTCAGCGCAAACTGGTAAGAGGCGTGTGGCAATTCAGCACAATTATCATGGAAAAAACTCAAGAGGCAATTACTGGCTTTAGTGCTCCGATTCTGTTTATGTTGGATGTGCATATTGTTTTTAATGAGGTAAAAAGGCCAATTAAGGTGTAAAGCTGTGATACATTCTAAAAACATAGGCAAACAGAGGGTCACAATGTTAGTCAACACAATAATATTGTGCAGTTTTATTTGTTATTCATTGTTTGATGTTTTTTGTTTGATTATTCTTTATATTTCTTTTTGTATTTTTCCACAAAACAGTCCAGGTCTATTAAAAAAAAGCTGTTTTTGAAGTACAGTGAATAGATTTGCAATTTCTTTTTTTAATATCAGAATTTTGTTCACTGTGCACAATGGTTAAACCTCCTGGTCAGTGCCCGATCTCGCTGAAGAAGGGCAGCAGTGGCTCAAGTGCAAACTGTTGTTGTGTCCTTAGGCAAGACACTTAACCCACCTTGCCTAGTATGAATGCTAGATTGGCTTGCTTTTGTCAGGCTACCTCCAGGACAGCTGTGGCTACAGTTAGTAGCTTACCACCAGTTTGAATAATGCACTAAATTGCACAAAAAAGAGATTAAAATGTAAATTTTATGAAATAATAACAGAATCGCGTACATTTCAAAACACATTTGTTGGGGTCTAAACTAAAGCCTTTGTGATTTGATTAAGATTCCAATTTTGATTTGATTGCAGTTAATTATGCAGCCCTATTTCCCAATGTATTATATTGTATAATGGCTGTAAGCTTATACGTTACAACATGTTATGTTCAAGGGTGTCATTGCTTCAATCTATTAGAGGTAAACACATTATGTGTCAGACAATATTCACAAGATACACAATTTCTTTATAAAGGAAACTGACTTTGTATAAATTCCATATAGTTTCATCCATGTACTATTGTTTCTGTGCTCACTGCTCATGTGTCCTTGGATCTTCACATTGTTCCCTTGTTGTGTGTTGTTCAGGGATAACTCCATGTTTTTGAATTAAAGGAACCACTGTGTGCATGGCTCTGGCTACAAACATGATCAGAAACCTTGGGTGCTTTCTGTAAACACATCTTCAGCTCAGCGCTTTCTCCCTGCAGCAAACATCCAAACATGCTAATGATTCATATGCTAATGGGAGTCGGTGTCTGCAACTGGTATCTATATTCTTGATCCACTGCCATTTACTACTCACAAATTTGTTTATCTGTTTTTCTATTTCTCTCATCTCAGAGTGACTGTAGTTCCAATTGATTATGTATTGTGATAGTGATAAGAAGTGGTCAACAAAGGATAAGACATTGTGTAATTTGTTGAATTGTTTTCATTTTCAGACATACTAGAGAACCCATGTTTACTTTTTTTTCAAAACCAAGCCCAGTTTCTATCTAGAAGGGTGTGTGTGTGTGTAAAAGCTGTTTCAAACTATTATGCAAATCATTTTATGTTAAACTGGGTATCTTAGATGGTTTGCTGGGCCATGGAGATACAGTACAAAAGTATCTTCCCACTCCTTTTCAAGAAATGTGCTTTTCTGTTGTTTACAATATATATGTAGTTTGTTTATGATAATTTTTTTCTCCCTTGGCACAAACTTGAAATAAAAACAAATCAATCAATCAAAAGGTTAAGCGGTTTCTAGCTAAAAGCAGAGCCCTTACAATGAGTCAAAAATGACCAACATACTTATTGATACTAAAACTAGTATTGAAAATTCGCAAAACCTGAATAGTTTTAGAACTATTTTAGAACAGTACTGGTAACATTGAAATATTAACTACTGTTGAAAATTTCATTCTATTGCTCTAAAAACTATTTTATTAGTTTTTTCTTATTTAAAAAGTATCAGCATTGGTGAAACTTTTCCTTGTTACTGAAAATAAGTTTTAAAATTTTAGTAGTGTAACACTGTTTGTTTTGAATTTACTTGATCTATTTGCATTTATTACATGCATATGCTGTTTATATCTCCCTTTTTCTCTAATCTCTGTGTGTCTGCCAGGCTTCCCCAATCTAAATAAAATACAAACTGCAAATATTTACTATTCCACCAAACTTATACTTATGTTAGATCCTCTATAGAATCCAATTACTGTTAAGTTACAAAAGCCCTCTGAAGCGGACAAACAAATGTGTGTCTTATCATTGTTTGCCCTCACACTATCTATGTCTGTGTCTCTGTTTTGGTGGCACCCTCCTTCTCTGTCTTTACTGAATGCTCCGCTCCAGATTCCTCTCCTTGTCACTTTATCTCCCTGCCCTTGTCACAATGTCACCCACAGAATCAGCCCTCTGTCTGCCTCACCTCTGCTGATACCTATATGTAGTCCTATAGATCCGTTAAGCCTGTAATTGGCCCTATATAAAATAAAGGCTAAAGTGATGAAGGGAAATAATCAAAATATAGGTATTAACAATCTTGAGATGGCCAAGTTACAGGTAAGATCTGTGTAGATGCGAGCCCACTCGTAGTATGAACGTATGCTTTCAAGGTATCATTTGGCAATAAATAGACCTGTTATTGAATACATGTAATTTGCATAAGTTTAAGAAGGTTTCATTTAAATTCCTGAGGAAACCCAGGCCTTTCTGTGCAGAGTTTGCATGTTCTCCCTATGTCTGAGTGGGTTTTCTCCAGGCGTTCTGATTTCCCCCATCAACCCAAAACATGCACAATAGGTCCAATACTCCATGTATGGTGGTCCTGACTAAGACTATTTCACCTGAAGATGGGTCCCTACAGCAGCAGTGCTACAGCAGCTCACTGCTCCTGATAGGGTACCCCAGCAAGACTGGTTGAAAGATCAGTAAAGTATATGTTAAACTTAATCTTAACCATGGAGACAAACAGGTGGTGGACTACTAAACCAGAAAAGATACATAGTACACCTTTAATATACACCACACTCCTTCTAAAAGTAAATACATTTATGAACCACTTATGGAACCAAACATGACCCTCGCTCCGAGCGTCATGTTCAGACAGTGCAAAATCATGCATATTTGGCAGATTTTTAAGTTAAATGTAAATTTCTCCTTAAAATGGTGCCACTGTTTTGTTTACAAAACACTAAAAGGGTTTATGAACATTTACACCTGAGAGAGTGAGAATCATCAGGGTGTAAAATGTGACATTTTGGAAGTTATTTTCTGCCACAATAAACGCAATTGTTTTTGTAACAATTATTGATTATGACTGAATCCATTAGGGCTGAAAAGTGCATTTCATCCAGATGCTTCAAGAAATATTAGGAAATCCTATTTATAAGAAACTGCAGCTGAAATAAGATGCTGTACAAAATGTTTAAATTCAAACCAAGTAATGTTTAATTTTATTTTCATGTAATATAACATGGAATAATAAGCCTTTAGGGTCAAAATCAGACCACAGAGGGTTTTTATTGATCACAGACCCATAGTGTAGCCACTGTCTGAAGAGAGTAAAAATCAGGTACAGGGCCTTTAATCTTGTTTGCCATTGGCAATATTGAGATTGAAAGTAGATAGAAATTACAAAAAAAGCAATGGAAATATATGAAAGCTTTAATATTTTATGTTTAAGTGCCCTATGTTTTTTTCTCATGCAGCATTTCAACTAATAATTGTTGTATTTTTTTTTCATCTATAATGATGATTAGTCTTAAACACTCCGAATACTGTGGCCCTGATAAGACCTCAACCATCCCACCTTTTACCCTGTTGTTTTGAGCTGCCTCTGTCTTGTCCCTCTGGTCTGTGTAACTAAAGTGTACCCCCCCCAATCCACCTTTAGTCTCAACATTGTACCCTCTCCCCCCTCTTCCTCTCCAAAGCCTCCTGCACATTTTATGATAGTGTTAATCATAGATGAGCTGCTCTTGATAGCATATTCCTGACCAGGAGAAACCCATCCCTCTCTTCCCCCTTTTTTTTCGCTGTGTCTGCGTGTGTACTTCTGAAACAGCAGTAGCTCAGTGTAAATCCAGATTAGGTCAGACCTCCAGCATGGCCCCTGATTGAAAAGACGTGTGCCTCTCTGGATGTAGAAATGTAAGCTGGTAAATAATACAGTGTCTTGTTGATGCATTAGTGAGAGATATAGGCCACCTGTCCACAGTGCACTCTATAGACGCTGTGCACATAAACAAAGAAGTCAATAGTCCTGCTGTTCTTGGCAGACATCGGAATATATATAATTCTCAAGTGGTTTAAGGTCCTATATTACACAAAACGGACTCTTTAAACCATGTTATAATGGTATCTCATCAAAAACATACTTAGAGTTGTGTTTTGTTGCAATCACACATGTCTGAATACCCCATTTACTATTAGTCTGTCTACATCTCCAGCTCATGTGATGCAGTGATAGTTTTCAAGTTAACAGCTACCACTTACCTTTTGTTCACTAGAGGTTGACAATTGCAGGGCTGAAATAATCCAAATGATTCTAGTGAAGATGTATGGACTTTAAAAACACAGTGGAGCTTTTCCTGTATTACCATGTGACATCACAAGGTGGGACCTTTTAAGGAAAAAAAAACAACATTTAAAAAATATAAACAGGCTATGTACAGATATGTAAATAAATAATTAAATAACCTTAGATTAAAAGCAGTAGTTTAATTAATTAGTTTCTTGATGTCTACATGGTCGGTAGTTGCTAATGTTTATGTTGAGATAAATGATCAAGTTAATGGAGTGGTAATTGGGTACTAAATAATACTCACTGCTAACACAACACTTATTAATTAGGGGGTTGAATCCATAGACTATATATGTAAATGGACATAGCTAACCCGCTAGCCATTGCATTCCAAATAGGACCTGAACATGGTGGCACTTTTGGCTCCATCGGCTCCAATTGACTTTACATTGAAAAATTGTCACCCATATCCCTGTAACAGCTGCAGCAAGCCTCAGAATTTTGCACTTAAAATGTTCGTATTAACTCACTCTACATGATCCTGATGTTTTTACTTAGGTTTTGTCCATAAATAAATTCATATCAAATTCAGACATACAAACTTTAACACCGTGAACTTTATTTGATTGAAGCCAAACACTCTGGGTGACATCACACTCCCTTAGTTCACTTCTTTAGGGCTGTCAAAAAATGTATACAAAACTAATCAATAAAACTAGTGTTGAAACATATTTTTTTACACAAGTATCAAATGAATAGTTTTCCTGAATAGTTTTAGTATTTAGCCTTGATTTATTCAGAACTATAATATGCAAGAAACCCTACTATTACCATTTTGAGTTGAAAATTACTTGTTGAAATTGTGTTTTTATTATGATTGTGGTATTGAAATTGTCAAGCATGTACTGTAGTCTAGTTTCAGAATCAAGTTTGAAATTTTAGCATCGTGACAACATTATGTCTTATCTTATATCAAAGAGGTTATGCACAATAACACAACTAAACTGAACAACAAATCATAAAATTCCAAACATAATGTTTACAAAGTTGAATCAGGTTCAGCACCTTATGTCTTGATAGTATTTTTCAGTGTGTCCTTGGCTAGATAAAAGATACTATCATAGAAGGTCTACTCTTACAAACCACTTTTACAAACTACTTTCCAAATATAAGTTTTGGGTAATAAATCATCTTTTAAATTTAGAGTACATAAAACTGGCTACATTAATTTTATGACGTAAGTTGAGACTTCATTTTATCCTCCACCAGTGAGCGCCTCTGTGAGTTGTATGTGTAATTAATTCTGGTCCCAGTTTACTGTCATTTGCTTGTTTTCATTTTTCAGACATGCAGCCATATATATTAGTACACGTCTGTTTCCTCTGATATACAGCACAGCACAGCACTGGCTTCTCACCAAATTGAGGCTCTCCTCTCATTTATCACATTCTACAACCTGAAGATCAGGGCTGAGCAATGGCAAGATATTTAATTGCGATTTTCTGAAAAACATTGCAGTTACAATTATATTTGTGATTTATATTTTAATAGTTAGATTCCGTTCCAAGTGCACATTTTAAACATACAAACAACAGAAGCAATAACATAAAGAAGACTGTTAGGAAATGATAATTTAATACAAGAATCAAAAAAGTTTTTGTAAAGGTCTATTGTGTGGCCTATTGTGCTTGTATCTGTTATATAGTTATAATCTATGACACCTAAGGATTATGACACAGTGAGGATTATTATGTTTTTTTATTGCAATATTCATCTAAAGAAAGAAATAAAAGAAACAAATCTGCACCTTTGATGGTTAGTTTCTCAGTTAGCGAGCCACAGATTTTTTTCCATTTGTACCAAAATACATGACACTGTCGAATCCTATGCATATTACAGATTGAGAAAATTAAATTGAAGAACGAAGTAAGTACAGAGCAGTGAATGTGGTTGAAATGGCTTCTTGAAAATAAGCAAGCTGAAACATGCACAAATCACTCAAAATTCAACTTGGGCGTGTAAATGGTGAGTGGAAACAACTACAACATGGTTATAATCTCAGAAATGCTGATTTTGCATAATAGGTCTGCTTTAAGACATATTTTGATGTTTGCAAAGGACTTCAATCATTCCAGTTTGCGATTTGCTAATTGCGACCATTCAAGTTCGATTTGTTTGTGATTAGTCCTGCAGCCCTACTGAAGATGGCCGGAAGTCCCCAAAATGAGCACTGAAGTAGCTGGAAAATATTTTTGGTACGTGATAGTTTTCTGATCCACCCACTTGCCTCTGCTCTTTGTGTGCCTGTCTTGTTGCAGGGGAAGAGGAATCTGCCTGGGGTGGAGGCTGCCAGCTCTCCCGAATCTGTGAGAGGTCGAGGGGAAAATAAAGCCATCAAGTAGGTGTCAGCGGGTTGTGGACGTATGGAAATAGGATACACTGCGGAGATACTATCACATTTTAACAAGCTATTTCAGATCACAAAGCTAGGCTAGCAGGCAGCACCCCGCGAGGTCAGAGACGGTGCCCTGAAGTAATGCCCTCATTTGTTCCATATAGTGTTGGCGGGACTGTATATATTTAGTACATTATTGAACCTTGTTATATAAAGAGGCCCATTATGAAACACCACATGCTGCAGAAGCTGTATCGATGAATATTTGAATGCGTAATTAGTGTAGACAGTCCAACAGCATGTTTACAATGATCATGAATACTGCATATGTATTAAGGACATCCTAAAACAACCCCCATCTCTCAATCATATAAATAGGCCATAGTGTATTTGTGTAACACCAAATACTATGCAAATCAGTTTTCTAGAGATGTTTTATGATTAGAGACGGGAGGTGGTCTAACTGGGCGAACCTATCTAGTTTATATTTAATGTTTTGCACCAGTTTTGCACAAGTTTGGCAGTGATTGTGCATAACTGAAATGGCAAAACACAAGGGGGATTCTGGCTGGCTTTAGTGTTTCCGAAACTCATATACGCATAATTAAGGCAATATAACATTAAAGACCTTACAGTTACACTTTATCTTCTGCCTGTCTCCTTGTAGTAGCACTGTTTAACCTTTCTGCTGAGTTCCCCTCTTCCTTGCTTGTATCCTTCGAGATGCCATTGTTTTTCCTGGATTGTTCCACAGTTTGGCATTATACATATTTATTTTGCCTTTATGACCTGTAAGTTTAAAGCCTCACTGTGAAACATTCCAGGCAGAGCAACAACACCTTCATGGAGACAATCAGGTGGCAAACATTTCACCAGAAAAGTGACACAGTGCAAGTTTAAGAAGAGATGCTCAATTATTTTTGCTTTGTTTTATGTAAAATTGTCCTGTAATTGTCCCTGTGTCTGACCGCAGTGACCTAGACAGAGACTTCTGGAACAACAATGACAGCAGTAACGTACAGCAGCGGTGGAGCTCGTACCCACCCAAAGAGTTCCTCCTCAACATGTCCCCCTACGCTCCCTACGGAGACCCCCGCCTCACCCCCAAGTGAGTCTCACACACATGGAGGGAACTACCGTACACAGTTACAATGAAAGTACAATGTTTTCATTTGGGGACAAAAATATTACTTTGCCCCATAGATTTGATGAACAATACACAGTTGTTTTATATTTTAAAGAATCTGTGTTACATGCATAGACTAAATCAAGAAGTATGCGGGTACAGTTTATGGTAAAATTATAATCAATTATAATCAGCAACCCTCCTAATTAATGTATACTCAAATTAGTTTGCTGGTTTGATTAACTGTATGTTCATGGAGTTCCTAATGTTTTCTCAGAATGCAGCATTAATTGAGTGGTTTTCAGTTGTCCAAAAATATTTTTATTTATTAATTTAGTACAGATTTTATTCCTTCAACTACAATGTTATAATATGTAATTTGCTTTGCTCAGTGCTTCATTTTAATAACAGAATACATGCAAATTGTGTACTAACAGTAAAAGGGAAAACATCAATTATAGGGAATGCTTCTGCTTTTGCTTCCAGGAAATAAAACAATGGAATGATTTGGAGTAATTAGTTAAAACCTATTGAACATGAAAGTCACACAGCTGCTTCGTGCTAGAATTCATGCTGGTTCCTGTATGTTTTAACCAAAGTCTCTCATCCTTTGTAATCCTCATGTTTTTTGCATTTGGTTATATCCAGAGAGAACGGGTGATTAGTATGCACCACTGGTCATGCAGTACCTGATAGAGATGTGCTGCACCATCCCTCAATACAGCTGTGATGGCTTGGTCTGCCAAAAATATTAGGCATAAATTACAACCAATATCTTAATGAGCACTTCAGATACAAAACTGCTGAAGCCGACATAAAAAACACATTTCAGATTTCTTTATGGATGCCCTTCAATAGAGCATTGCAATTATATGTAAATGAGCACTTTTAAATGATGAATTAATATTGTATATCAAAGAAAAGACACTTGTCAAATGTGAAATGTCCACCCACGTTTGAATATAGTATTTAAGACTAGATAGAAAAAGGCAAAAAAATAATAAAAAAGTAAATAAGTATTTTTGGTTCATAGAAGAAAAAATATTTTGATTACTTTCCCAAACAGTGTCACAAATTACAGCAACTCTGAATGATAATCAAACAGGGGAAATCAGCTGAACTCAAATTTGATGAAAGATCGCGTTTCCAAATAAGACAATACACATTAGACTTTCAAACAGGACAAATGTTAGTATTTTTGCCAGGTGGAGCGTGAAGGCCCCTGCTGCACTGCTCACCTCTCACCTGCAGCCTGTAGAGCGTCACCATGGTAACGGACAGCCCTCAGCTTGTACCAGAGCGTAGCCTTTTTACATTTGTACAACTCCAGTATTCAAATGTCAAAGAGTGCTGACACCAGGCAACCCACAAGATCTGCTCTTCTTCAAGTACAGGATAGACAAGAGTATATATAGATATAATAATATAAAATAAAATAATAAATAAACAAATATAAATAATAATATAGAGTATTTTTATATGAGAGATCTTTCATCATAAACATGTAGGCTAGAATATAATAAGCCTTGCAAAATAATAATAATATAATTTTAGATAATTTTTTTCACTGCCCTGTCTTATCCTTCACACATTAATGAAGTAATTATGAGGAGTGCCTATACAATTTTTAAACTTAAACTTTTTGACACTTTACATGTTTGGATATGGTGAAGAATTTACATTATTCATCCACAAAACTTGGTTGCTGCTAATCTAAATTTCATTCATTTTCATAGAAGGGAGATCTATTCAGAATCCTTTTAGTCTAATCCAATGTCAAATAGGTAAATGTCTGAAAGGGGGCTAATTTGTTCTTTCGGGCGGGTGTGTGTTTTGTGTTGTCTTTTTAGTCCTTGGTGGTCCTCATCTATTCACAGTGGAGTTGAATGGTTTAATTTTGACAAAAGCAGGATCCTTGTAAGGGTTGCCAGATTGGCTTTTGTCAATTGGAGTATGTATTATGTCTATTTTGGGGTTGTCTGTCTCTCTTAAAAGTACACTATATATACAACTTTTCTCATGGTGTTTCTGTGGAACTGCCAATTAGCCGTCTCCATGGAGATTTTACTTCTTTGTCTGGAATGTTCCTCAGTAAGGCATTAAACATATCTATCAGGAAATACCACAAGGCCAAGTTACAAATCAGGTCTGTGGAGAAATGGCCCAGCTCAGAGTAAGAGTGCACTTACAACATGTATAACGATATCCAAATCTCATGATACGATATCGTCACAGTATGAACCTCATGGTACGATATTTATTATGATATTTTGTGGATGCTAAGAAAACTGTTAATATGCTACTTTTTCCTCTTAAAATGCATTGACAAGACTTAATCCAAAAAGTGCTTGACCTGTTATTTCTTCATGTAGTCTACACTGAAATGCAGCAAAGGATCATGGTCTATGTGGTTCCCTTTGTCTTTTTTTAGCTATTGCTTCACCATAACTCTTAATTTAAGGAAAGAAACTTGTAATTTGATATATTGTGATGGTCCACAATATTATTGTGAGAACTTTGACAATACAATATCATGATATTTTGGTTATTGATACATCTCTAATAAGTACAAGACATATAAGTTTAATGCCATACTGTGGGACATTCCAGGCAAAACTGTATCTCCATGGAGAAAAAACTGATGGCAAATCCTCCTCTAGAAAAATTACATGTTGCACCTTTAAAGGGCCCATACTACACTATATTCTGATCTATGTTATAGTGTTGTTTCTTCATCAAAAACATACCTGGAATTGTTTTTGTTTTTTCACACATGTTTAACACACAAATCCTGCATATTTAGGCTGAGTTCTTCTCTCAGAAAACACTCTGTTCCCTCTTATGATGTCATGTGGTAATCGAGGTGTGTTTTTAAACTTCACACACCTTCAATTTAGTTCTCAATTAGTTCTCAAACTCACGTGTGAATGAAACAAAGCACAACTCCGAATAAGTTTTTGATGAGGTTACAACAATCTAACATTGCTAAAACTTTTTCAGTTTTGTGTAATATAGGACCTTTAATGTTTGTTCAGTATTTTCTTTCTTCAGTTCCCATGACGCTGCATTATAGTTGCCTTGAGTGATCTGCCCCTCAGTCTTTGTTTTGGCTGCTCTCTGAAGTCCTTCTAACAATCTACTACCCCATTCACATTCATCTCACGGCACTCAGGCATTTCCATTAGGATCCGCTCTAATTACAACTCACTTGACTATTTCAGAACCACAGGCCCATCAGTTAACTCTGTATCAGTTCAGCCATGTTGAAAAAGGTCTATAAAATAAGTGAGTTGCATCAGGAGTGATTAGTTGTTGTCATTTTATTTCATACTGTTATTGGCTTCATTATTCTGATAAAATGGTGTTTAGTATATGGAACCGCATAATAGAAGTGACACCTATGATGAAACTGTCAATCTAGAGGGTAATGGAAAAATTAAGTGGAAAAGGTACTGTAGAAAGTACTGTTTACCATTAATGTTCAGAGAACATTAATGGAAATCTTACATGCAACAACTCTCTCCAGCACTGGGGTAGACTAAATTACTTTTTTTTTAAATCTAAGTATGTCTATTCCACTGGAGGTCAATATACTAATAACTAATTATTGCATTACGTGATGTGATATTTTAATTGCACTCAATTAAAACTAGGAATGCTATGATTATTGTGAGTAAAAGCCTCATGGTTTTATGATTTTTCACTGTTATTAAAGGTCTCATATTACGCAGAATTGAATCTCATGAGCTTTAAGTCACGTATATTGTTATCTCCTGCATTATTAGTCTGTTACTGTGCATCTCCAAAGCTCAAAATGCTCTGTCCACCTTTTGATTTCAAGTTAACAGCTACCCTTTACCATCTGTTCAGGTGATTCTAGTGAAGATGTATGGAGTTTAAAAACACAGTGGAGAGCTTCCTGTGTTACCACATAATTATCATCACAAGGTGGAACAGAGTGTTTTCTGTTTTAGAGAAGAACTCACCCAAAATATGCAGAGTTTGTGTGTTTAACATGTGTTAATGTAACAAACCACAACTCCAGGTATGTTTGTGATGAGGAAACAGCATTATAACAGATCAGAAAATAGCGTAATATGAAGCCTTTAATGCATAGCCAAACAACAGTGAAATTTTCCATTCATGCTAATTCATATGTCTGAAAGATCACCATTCTTCCTCAAAGTTGCCAAAGTAGTGACAAGTAATGTAAATGAAGTGTAAATTAATTTAATATGTTATATTAACTCAATTACAGATTAATTGAATAATCTCAACATCTGTAATTATGGAAAAATTTGTCCTGGCTCAAAAAATCTGTATGATAATATCTTTTCCACCAAACCTCATTGCTTCCTCTTCTGCAGTGTACTGTATCATTACTGTATCTCTCTAGATTGTCTCCTCTGTGTAGTCTTTGCTCTTGAGTCATTGTCTGTTTATTTCTGTATGTATGGTACTGTAGGTCAGTGGGGTGGGCACTGTTATGAAATATAATGTAGCGTATTTTAAAGCACTGTGCCGGCAGTGAGAGCCATTGTAAACAATCAGATTTTCAGCAACTCTATTTGTCTTCCTCCACAGAGCTGCAGCCCAGAGATGGATAATTATTAGCACTCTGATATCACCAGAGGCACACGCTCTGCGCATATTTTTGAAACAAAATATTTGCATCATTATTTAGGCGCAATTCACTATTCTCTATTCACACTGGTACTTTTCTGTTCCCATGTGGGTTCGGGAATTGTATTACATTCATAAAAATATGTGTATTACTGTCAAAACCTAAAATACATTTCCTATTCAGGTGCACTATGTAACTTTTCTGGTGGAGGTCTGTCACCTGATTAATTACAGGGGTTTTATTGCAAAAAATAACAGGCATTACCACACTACTTCCTTACAGTGTGTATGCTTTCCTCACCATAGATCTGATCTGTAACTTGTGCTGTTAATGTGACCTGTTGTCTCTTAGGATATAA